CTATTTCAAATAGTACCTCACAAAACTCCTCTTCGGAAGGCGCACAACAATCTAAATTGGACGATATTGTTTGTACCGTATGTCACTATGGACGATCCCCGAAGCATAATCGGATAGTCCTGTGTGATAAATGCGACGTCCCTTATCATCAACAGTGTCATGTTCCACCCATTGAGGATCGTGTCGTTGAAATACCTACCGCAGAATGGATATGCTTAAGGTGTGAGGAGATGAAAGGTCGTAAACGCAGAAAGGTTGGATCCCGCGCATTTGCATGTAGTAATAATGAACGAGATGTTTCTGGAAGCGGATTAACCGAAGAACAGGTAAGTTGCGATATACAATTTTCAGATGGCGAAAGCTCCTTTTAACTTCTCCAATGATAAACAATTTTTTTGACACCTTTTTAAAAAAAAAAATTAATAAAAAAAAATAAAAAAATAAAAAAAAGAAAATAGCATATCTATCTTCTTTACCGCAAAGAGTTTTAATTGATCTTATACTCATTGCCGAAAAGTTGCACCCTGACCTTCCTTTATATCCTGCGGATGTCAAGGAACAAATCGCAAATAATGCTCACACCCCTATGGCAAACAACGATACTATAGATAATCGATCTGCGCAAAAAGATTCCTTTCCTCACCCATCGGCCGTTCCGCAAGTATCAAGCAAACAAAGTACCAAGAGCTACGCAGATAGCACAGACCCTTCACGTGCACATCTTCCGGCTGTTGGAGTTGATTTACCATCGTATGAGGAAATGATTGTTCAAGCACTTTTATCAATTGCCGATCCGGCGGGTAGCGCGCCTCGGAATATCTTTGAGTGGATGAATAAGTAAGAATAGCTATGCTTGTTAACTTTGGTAAACCTCGAGATGATCGATTGTAATCCCGTAACCCATCTTTTCTAATTTGGACAAAAGCACTTATCCCCTGCACAAAAATTTTCGAGCTTCTGCCTCTCAGGCTTTACAGAAAGCTGTTAAAAAGGGGCGCGTGTTGCGGATTGGTACCGTATACAAGCTAAATGTTAATTATAGGCCAGCAAAAGTACGCTCAAGTTTTTTTATCAAGTTAATTTTGTTGAGAACACTCATCTAACAATTTTTTCTTTGTCATGGACACAGAGAATTCGAAGATACTTTAAAAAACCTCAGAGTTCAAACGAGCAGCGATCTTACAAAGACGATATTGTACCAGAAGATGATCAAGAAGGAGTGTATGAGATTGCTGTGAGAATGGAAGACCCCGACAATTTCACTTCGGCGCAAGGAATAGAGATGGATGATCATCCAAGTGTGTCTTCTTCGGCAGTATCAACCCCAGCCCCACATGCCATTTCAAGTGGTCATACGGAAGCAACCTCTCCAGAAGAGAATTCGTCGATGGACGATACTTCGGGCAAGATTGTACCAGTTTTGGTTAATGAACCTTCGAACCCCATGAGCACGATGATGCAAAATCAATCAATATTGCCACCGGTTCGAGGTCGCGGTGTGGCGTCAAACATCAACTCTAGCGTCAGCCTACCCACCACATTACTTCCTCCCCCAGTACAACCAACGTTGCCTTCTTTAAGCTCAGTGGCTCCTTATTTTAGTTCAGGGTATGTTGGGAACAAATCCAATTCCATGTATACACCTTATCACCAGTATGCGTCACCGACAGGTACTTACAATACGGGTCTTCCGGCCATTGTAACGCTATCACGCGACGAAAATGGACTATCTATCGATTCTACCCATTCTCGTTGATTGAGCTAGACAGGATGGGAAGGAAGAACAAAAGAGTTCGTTTAAAGGGCACATTGTATCAAATTTTTTGAAATTTGATATATACATATACTGTACATATATTATATGTGTTCTTTTTTTTTTCTATTTAGTTATAATATGTTAATTTGTTTGTGTACCATTATTGTACTAATATTATAATGGCATGAAATACTACTATATATGTAATGTGAAGGACCAAAATTGATATCCGTTACCATTACTTCAAAAGTAATTCGTATTATGTTCGATGACGTTAATAAATCTCGTGTGATCAATTTGATTATCTAGTAATACGTTACGTCCTCGTCCCCTATAAGATCGATTTATTCTGATGCGCATAGCACCCTGTGTGCTAGCTACTTTCTACGAACGAAAAAAGTATTCGTAAATAACAACAAAAAAAAATGTCGACCTCACGGGCACTTAACGATGAAGAAGTTCTCAATGAAATGAACAAAATGGTTGAGCGTCTTCGTAGAGCTATAACGATATTATGTTTTTTTATATTCATTGTAACTAAAAACATTGAATTCAGGTCGCCTTTATAAAACAAGAGGCCATTGAAAAGGCCCGTGAGATCCAAGTGAAGGTGCGTTATCTCAATCGAACCTTGGTCTCCGCTTATTATAAATCGTTGTACTAGAACTTTTTTTTTAACACGTTCAAAGGCCGATGAAGAATTTAACATCGAAAAGGTATGTGTTTAAAGAAGAAATTATTAAAGTTGAAAGACAAACTCTTATCGGTACGTATTCGTATCAGACCAAACTTGTCCGTCAGGAATCCATCAACATCGAAGCCAACTTTCAAAGGAAAATCAAGCAGGCCGAAGTTCAAAGGAAAATGTATGCACGGTGGAACGAGTTTCGTCTTGTAGCGTTGGTTTATAACGTTATTACTGTTGTTAATATCAAATCATCTCCAACAACGTGTAGTACTCAGTCAAACTATATTAATAAGTCGCGTCTCAAGATTCTCCAGGCGCGTCAACAATCGCTCGATGAACTTTTTAACGAGGCTAGGATTCAACTTAAAAAGGTTTCGCAGGACACAGATCGATACCGTGATTTGTTGAAAGATTTGATATTGCAAGTAATGAATGTTTCCCGAATTTCTGTCACAATCTTCTTAACCTCCTGCTCACATATCCTTCAATATATAAGACTCTATATCAATTAATGGATGAACATGTAACGGTCATCGTTAGAAAATCAGACCTGCAATTGGCAGAAGCTGCTGTTCAAGCTGCGCATAAAAATTTCACGGATACCACCAAATTGCCCCTCAAGATTGAGATCGACAAAGAGAATTTCTTACCTGATAGCAGGTATCAGAAAATCACAACGCAGATTTTTTCATCTTTTTTTTACACTTGCGCACTCTTCACCTAACATACATTTGAATCCTTTAGCGCCGGAGGTGTTATCTTGACATCTTATTTTGGTCGGATAAAGATCAACAATACGCTTGAAGAGAGACTAAAATTGGCTCAGGAAGAGGTAAATGGGATTTATCTTATTCGTTATATTGATGGGTTCGGTTATTCATTTATAATTTATCCTTTATATCAGATGCTTCCTGAAATCCGAGTCACCCTCTTTGGCCATTCTCCAAATAGAAAATTCTTCAACTAATTATTTTTCGATATCACACGACCTTCATTTTATTTTTCTTCTTTTTATTCATTGTACTCCAATTCATTCTTAAATATAATAATTTATACAAAAAAAAATTTTTTTTCCTCGGCATATTGTTTTTGTGGTGTACCAGGCAATCATTTCAAACTCAAGTTCGAAAAGTAATTTCAGTTGCGTGTCTACAAGACCTGCTCAACTACTTATCAAGTATATCATCACCTATAATTTTTCCTTTGTTAAATTGGTGATATCTATCACCTGATCGGTTCCCGGGTAAGGTGGAATGTTAAGTCCATATTTCTTCTCAAGCTCTCTAAAGAACGAAACGAAATTATCAAAAGTAATAGCCAATCAGAATCCATAAAATAATGACACGATGCTTTTTTAAGGATACGGCGACCACCGAGAAAGTGTATTCCATCGAATTGCTTCACCCCCAATTTTGGTGCTGTGAGGGAGACGAGCATTGAGGGGATGAAACCACGGCCATCCACGTTTCCTAAAAAGTGGATGAAAAATATAATTGAGAAAATTTTCTCGAACCTCATGAACACGTGCACGCATCTAGATCGTTTACCTTTCTCAACGTCCCATGCGGATGGAATATCGACTGATTATCGCGAACAAAGGAAGTTATTAGAATCAACCTTTGAAATATTCGATGAACAGTTGAGTCAAACCTGAAGCTATTGGTAATTTTGTTTCCCTTAAGTCCTATATTTGGAAAAAAGCATGCATCAAAAATAATATAGATTGGATCACGTGAAGCACTTCGAATAATTCACCTGAATAATCTGATCGAAAGGCGCTTTGACTTCCCCCGAAAAGCTGAATCCTTTAAAAGGAAAAATGAATAAAGATTATAGGCTTGAGTGGTAATCGTGATTACGTGTGCGCTTACCGAATATAGCGTCCAGTATCAAATCGTTTCGTGAAAATTGGTCGGATAAGTTATCGGTAAACGGAATTTTGAGATTCTCACATTGGGCCACCAACCTCTGTTAAAAGAGATGGGATTATTTATCTAACCGGATGATGTAAAAAAACTGATGGTAAAATGGCGCATACCTGATACAACTCTTTTGGGGGTCGTCTTGGGTAAAAAATATTGGGTCTGTATCCAAAGTGGAAAAGATGACGCGCCGCGACAAGACCTACGGCCAATTAGAGTCTAACGAACGCGCTAAAGAAAGTAATGAGATTTCTTGTGGAATTTCTTTTAGGTTACCATCACCACCATTATTTCCTGGACCGCAGCAGATTAATACGCGTGAGAATTTGGACTTGTCATATGTCCTGAAGATCGCTTGCGCAACACTGAAGCCGGCCAATTCCATGAGCTAAAGTAGAGTTCAGGTTATTCTTTGGTGTTATCAAGGACCTTACAAAGTGGAATCAGGTGAACTCCCGCAAACCTGGTCAATTGAGAAGCCTCCGGCCTGGGACATCAATTCTTCGTCAATTGTTTGTGCAATTTTTTGAGTAAGATACTAAGTTGGGTAGAATCAAAATTTATAAACGACATTTTCGAACAAAACAAATTTCACGTAGTTGATAAATTACTTTCAGAGCCATGACTTATCTCAAAGGTGTCTTTGAAAAGAAAAAAAAAAAACACGTGTTACCCGTATTTTATATGATTTGCGACTAAACGCGTTTATACAAGATCAGTGGAAAATGGAATATTCGATCAACTACTTACTTAAACCAGAGAAAAATGAACAATTTTTTATTCATATCACAATGACATCCGAAACTGTCGCCACTCAGAATTCTAGCTTCGAGGAAAAGAAACTACGTTTGTTTTTTTCTCGTCTCGACGTTGATAATTCTGGCACAATTACCGTCTTTGATTTACAGCGTGTGTTGTTGAACGGCGATTGGACGCCATTTAATTTAAATACCGTTCAACTATTATTCAATTTATTTGATCGAGATCGTAATGGCGTTATTCACTATGAAGAATTTATTGGCCTGTGGAGATATATCGAAGATTGGAAGAAAATTTTTGCAACTTTTGATCGGGATAACAGTGGATACATGAGCACAGGTGAACTCATGTCGGCAATGAAAGGTTTCGGAATGAACATTAGCGAAGGAATGTTGATCAAAATTGTTAAAAAATACAACCAAAAATATCCTTCGGACAAGAAAAAACACCAGTGAGGAGGATAAACTTTCGGTGAATTTCGACAATTTTATCCAAATATGCGTTACTTTAAAAGACTTGACGGATGCATTTCGAGCCTTGGACAATGATGGTGACGGTTGGGCGAAGCTGGATTATTATCAGTTCATGGAACTTATTTTCAAACATAAATGACGTTGCACTCAGGGAAAATTGAAGTTTCTTCTAACGCATTAGAAACATTGTAACACATTGAACAAAGAACAATTAGATCCTCTCACAAGCTTTTAATTTATTTGCAAATTTCTTGATTCAAGCATAATTAATTTTTACAGTTTCCCGAAAGAAAAAAAATCCTTTTTCCCAAATTAAAATAAAAAAAAACCTCTTGCCCTTCACAAGAAAAAAAAAAAAAAGAAAAAAAAAAGAAACGAAAAAGAAAAACCTCGAAATCCTTTTACGGTCGAAGTACGATAGTTCAATAAAACTTTGTCCTAAAGTGAGCCATGGAAAGTCACGTTTGAACATATTTTTCATAGCCATCGATATTCTGGCGTTCTTTTTTTTTTTTTTTTCTTTTTTACAATATGTACACTTGACTTCCCAATTTACAACATTTCGTTTTGTATAAACATTATAAGCAGAATTGAAAATTTATACTTACCGT